AGGTCGTAGGTCGTAGGTCGTAGGTAGTAGTAGGTCGTAGGTCGTAGGTCGTAGGTCGTAGGTCGTAGGTAGTAGTAGGTAGTAGGTCGTAGGTCGTAGGTCGTAGGTCGTAGGTAGTAGGTAGTAGGTCGTAGGTCGTAGGTCGTAGGTAGTAGGTAGTAGGTCGTAGGTCGTAGGTCGTAGTAGGTCGTAGTAGGTAGTAGTAGGTAGTAGTAGGTAGTAGTAGGTAGTAGTAGGTAGTAGTAGGTAGTAGTAGGTAGTAGTAGGTAGTAGTAGGTAGTAGTAGTTAGTAGAAGTTAGTAGTAGTAGTAGTAGTAGTAGTTAGTAGTAGTTAGTAGTAGTTAGTAGTAGTTAGTAGTAGTTAGTAGTAGTTAGTAGTAGTTAGTAGTAGTTAGTTGCAGTTAGTAGTAGTTAGTTGCAGTTAGTTGCAGTTAGTTGCAGTTAGTTGCAGTTAGTAGTAGTTAGTAGTAGTTAGTAGGAGTTAGTAGTAGTTAGTAGTAGTTAGTAGTAGTTAGTAGGAGTTAGTAGGAGTTAGTAGGAGTTAGTAGGAGTTAGTAGTAGGTAGTAGTTGTTAGTAGTAGCTAGTAGTAGCTAGTGTTAGTAGGTAGTAGTAGGTAGTAGTAGTTAGTAGTAGTTAGTAGTAGTAGTAGTAGTAGTAGTAGTTAGTAGTAGTAGTAGTAGTAGTAGTAGTAGTAGTAGTAGTAGTAGTTAGTAGTAGCTAGTGGTAGCTAGTGTTAGCTAGTGGTAGCTAGTGGTAGCTAGTGGTAGCTAGTAGGTAGTAGTAGGTAGTAGTAGGTAGTAGTAGGTAGTAGTAGGTAGTAGTAGGTAGTAGTAGGTAGTAGTAGGTAGTAGGTAGTAGGTAGTAGGTAGTAGGTAGTAGGTAGTAGGTAGTAGGTAGTAGGCAGTAGGCAGTAGGCAGTAGGTAGTAGGTAGTAGGTAGTAGGTAGTAGGTAGTAGGTAGTAGGTAGTGGTGGTGGTAGTAGTAGTAGTAGTAGTTGGTGGTAGTACTAGTAGTTGGTGGTAGTAGTAGTAGTAGTAGGTAGTAGTAGTGGTAGTTGTTGCTGTTGTCTCTGTCACCGTCATTGTCGTTGTTATGTAGTAATGTAGTGTGGCATGGTTGAACGTCCAAAAAATGGTCCGAACATGGGATGCTTTTACTATTTTGACTTCGAGATGTGCTTTGCGCCACAATGGCAAACACATTTTCGACATCTCAACTTCCAAAAGTGGTCCGGAGTTAGTGTGTTTTGTACATTTTGACTTGGAAATGCGCTTCGTGCCACAACCGCCGGCACTTTTTTAACATCTCAACTTCCAAAAGTGGTCCGAACCCATCAGTTTCTAACACTTTTGACTTCAACACGGGCTTCGCGCCACAACCGCGTGCACTTTTTTAACATCTCAACTTCCAAAAGTGCTCGGAACATGTGGTGCTTTGCACATTTTGACTTTCAAATGTGCTTCGCGCCACACTTTTTCAGCATCTCAACTTCCAAAAATGCTCCGGGGTTGAGGTGTTTTGTGCATTTTGATTTCGACATGTGCTTCGCGCCACAACCACGTGCAATTTTTCATCTGTCATCTCCCCAGATGGCTCCGCACCCGCCGCTTTAGCGAGCCTACTTTCCGACCCTCCGGAGCCACAAAACATTGGAAAAACACTGTGTTTCGCGACTTTTCTACCTTTCGTGCGCCTGCATCTTCTTTCTTCTGACACTTTCTCTTCTCTGATCTACTTTCTTCTGCCTTTCTCTTCTCTGACTCTTCCCACCTCTGCTTTTCATCTGTGCATATTGTCGGAAGTTTGACTAAACTTCCCTTCCTGCGATAATCTAATATATAAACACATAATACAACATGTAGTAGAAGATAAAGGTTATAATGTATTTATAATTCGCAAGATAAAATCTATGGTTCATAATTTCTCAAATTTCATGTGCAATTCAAAACATATAAACAAACACAACATATACTAACAATAATAATGATAGTAGCAATACAAAACAATAAATGACAACTAACAAACGATAATATATATATATGTGTAAACAAATTATAAATATAACATAGTAACCGCACAAACAACGACAATAATAATGATCGAAGGAAGTTTAGAAGTCAAACTTCCGACAATATGAACAGATGAAAAGCAGAGATGGGAAGAGCCAGAGAAGAGAAGAAAAGAGAAAGCCTCAGAAGAAAGAAGATCCAGGTGCGCGAACCAGTTGGCCAGATGAGAGATGAAAAATTGCACACCGTTGTGGCACCAAGCACGTTTCAAAGTCAAAATGCACAAAACACCCCAGCTCCGGAACACTTTTAGAAGTTGCGCCGTCAAAAAAGTGCACGCCGTTCTGGCGCGAAGCACATGTGCAAGTCAAAATGTACAAAACACCTCAGTTTTGGAACACTTTTAGAAGTTGCGCTGTTGGAAAAGTGCACGCCGCTGTGGCGCGAAGATGCGCGAAGCACATGTCGAAGTCGAAATGTACAAAGCACAGCAGGTTCGGACCACTTTTGGAAGTTGAGATGTCGAAAGAGTGCACGCCGTTGTGGCGCGAAGCACATTTCGAAGTCAAAAGTGCAAAAAAATGTGGGGTACGGAGCACTTTTGGACGTTCAGATGCGCGTGGCAGGCGCAAGGGATTGTGCACCATGTTATAAGTGAGCAAAACGTGAAGGTAAAAAAATGGCAAGCGTGGGACATTTGAAGAGGATCAGTAATAGTAATAGTATTAGTAATAGTAATGGTAATAGTAATAGAAAGAGTAATAATAATAGCAACAGTAACAGGAATAGTAATAGTAACAGTAGCAGTAACAGTAATAGTAATGATAATAGTAATAGCAACAGTAACAGTAACAGCCATAGTAGTACGTAGTCGTAGTCGTAGTCGTAGTAGCAGTCGTCGTAGTAGTAGTAGTAGTCGTCGTCGTCGTCGTCGTTGTCGTCGTAGTAGTAGTCGTTGTGGTGGTGGTGGTAGTAGTACTAGTAGTACTAGTAGTACCAGTAGTAGTAGTAGTCGTCGTCGTCGTCGTTGTCGTTGTCGTCGTCGTCGTCGTAGAAGTAGTAATAGTTGCGGTTGTAGTAGTTGTTGTGTAATTAGTGTGGTGTAGTGTAATTAGTGTTGTGTAATTATAGTTTTGTGTAATGTAGCGTGGCATATTTGTACTTGTAGTTGTAGTAGTAGCGTAGTGTAGTGATACCTGTAGTTGTAGTTGCGGTTGTAGCTGTCTATCTATCCATCTGTCTATCTGCAAGCTTGAAAGCGAAGCTATTCTGTGAGACTTACTCAATTTTTGAACTTGACAACATCAAAAACGCAGTTATTCCGCGAGACTTCCTCAATTTTTCAACTTGACAACATCAAAAACGAAGCACTTCTGCGAGACATCCTCATTTTTTGAGTTGTCAACATCAAAAACGCAGCGATTCTGCGAGACGTCCTTCAAACATGGACAGTTGAGTGCAGAGCTGACGGCCTCGTACCAATGCGTTTTGCGATTTTTCCACTGCACCTGCCTAAAGTATTGCGCCTGCCACGAAAAAGTGATGCAAGGTCATACGAAGTGCTGCACCTGCCACGGAAAATCATCTTGGCAAACTTGAAGATCTGATGCTCCAAAATGCAACCCTTCTCAGGAAATCAGCGCCCGGACCTCCTAGCATCTCTGACGAACATGTCTCTTGTACTGTGCCTGCTACGGAAAATGTATCTGTGCAGATCCTCTTCAAATGTCCCACGCCTGCCATCGTTTTTGGAAATGCTACAAAACCATACAAGGCTTCGCTCACTGTTAATACGGTGCACAATCCCTTGCGCCTGCCACGCGAAACGACATCTGAACACCCAAACGTGGCCCGAACATGTGGTGATATGTGGTGCTTTTAACATTTTGACTTGGAAACGCGCTTCGCGCCACAAACGGCCTGCGCTTTTTCGACATCTCAACTTCCAATAGTGGTCCGAGCATGGTGTGCTTTGTACATGTTGACTTCCAAATGTGCTTCGCGCCACAGCAGCGTGCACTTTTTCGACATCTCAGCTTCCAAAAGTGGTCCGGAGCTGGTGTGCTTTGTACATTTTGATTTGGAAATGTGCTTCGCGCCACAATGGTGTGCACTTTTTCGTCATCTCAACTTCCAATAGTTGTCCGAGCATGGTGTGTTTTGTACATTTTGACTTCTAAATGTGCTTCACGCCACAACGGCGTGCACTTTTTCGACATCACAACTTCCAAAGTGGTCCGACGTTGGTGTGTTTTGTGCATGGAAATGTGCTTCGCGCGCGCAACTTTTCATCTGTCATCTGACCAGATGGCTCCGCACCGCCGCTTTAGCGAGCTTACTTTTCGACCATCCGGAGCTACAAATCATTAGAAAAACACAGTGAATCGCGACTTTCCTACCTTTTCGCGCACCTGCATCTTCTTCTTAGACTGTTCTGCTAGCTTTTCCATCTGTCCATATTGTCGAAAGTTTGACTTCTAGACTTCCTTCCAATAAAAGCACTAATAATAAATAAATGAAAGTAAACATGTAATAATAACAATAATAATAAATAATATTAATAAACAATAATTAATAATAAACAAATCAATGATATTAAATAATGAAATCATAGTAGTAATAATGATATAATGATAAAAATAATAATAATGCAATGATAACAATAATAATTAGAATATAATGATAATAATAAATAATAATAATAATAATGCAATAAAAACAATAATAATAAGAATATAATGATAATAATAATGCAATAAAAACAATAATGAATAATAATAAAAATAAAAAATAAAATACAATAATAACAATAATAATGATAAATAACAATAATAACAATATGAATATAATCTAAAAAATAGCAGCGGCAATCATAGTGATAGATACTGAAAATGAAAATGGTAATGTGAATGGTAAAAATACTAGCAATGTACTTATAATAATAACAATAATAATAATAATAGCAGTACTAGTAATGACAGTACCACTAATAATGGTAATAATAATTGTATACGGTAACTACATTTAAATATAAAAACGGGTATTTTATACCACGTCCTGGGCCTCGTGGCCTGGCCCACCCTCCATATATTTAAATGTCGTTGCGTATAATAACAACAATCATAATATACACGATCTCCAAGCTGATGCCAGGCATGAAAAAGTTCCAGAAGCACCATCAATCATCAGAAAGATTTGGAGACGTAAGCAAGTATATTGGCTTATGTTGGCCTGCTGACTCTCTTACTGCTTCATCCAAGCTGCCAAAGTCAGCACGTGCACCTTGTCCTTCACCGTGTGAATGAGGCATCCCAGCTGCTGCCAGGGATTCCGCCTCAAACATGCTATCAGAATGAAATGGGGTATGATGAGGATATCAACCATCAATACTTGATCATCGTTGATCTCAAAATAATTCTATATGGTTTCGGCACATTCGCATCCCGGCCTGCTCGATTGAGAGCCCTGTTTCTAATCCAGCCTTCACAGCACCAGCGAAAGCAGCATAGCTGGACTGCTGCCTCGGCTGAGAAGGAGATTAGGACGGGAATACATTTTGACTTCAAACTTGCCAAATCTTGCCAAAGAAGGAATGTGAACGAATGAAAGTTCAATGACAATGGCAAACATTCCAAAGATGTCTTCGGCCGAGGAACTCTGTCAGAAAGACTGCTCGAGCAGCCTGAATACCCAGGCAAGATCACGCAGGGACACAATTCAGAATCCAGAACGGCAAAAAGCATCAAAAAGGACTTCGCTGCAACCAGCTTTTGGGCTGCCACCTTGCTAGCAGCTCTTGCAGCTGCCTTTGCAGCTGCCTTTGCCTTCCACATCACAAGATTATAACAATGACCCAAATACCACACAAACCGCAATGCTGTGAAGCTCTTAAGGCAAATTCTGACCTGATCGTGCTGGCTCAAGCCAGCAGATTCAGCCTCATGTCTAGCCTTGGTCTCGAACGGCTCCGTAGCTCCAGGCTACTTGGATTTGTTTGAAAATAGGCTGCCCCTAAATCCATTGGGTTACTATCATGTTTCGGATTCAATACCCCATTTCCAGACACACCCAGCTGGGAGATCAATGTCATCGCCCCCTGAGTAGCTCGCCCATTTGGCCGCAGCATCAGCTGCCTGTGCCGGAGTTGCTTTTGCAGAAACTGCCGCTTCACCAGCCGCTGTCGCAGCCGCCTGAGCACACAAATGTGGAGTTTGGGACTCAATCAACATCAATCAACTTTGCAATCGCACAACGCACGCTTTTCCAAACCTGCCTGAAGGTTGGCTGCATCTTAGGTAATTCTTTTGGGGTGCAACAACTTTTCTCAGGTTATACTTATATGGCGGTTTGGGTTGGTGGTTTGGAAGTCTGGGACATCAGAGTTATGTGCAAAAAAGATCAAAAAAAGTTAGTTTTGTTTTTGTGTTTTGTACTTGTTTTGTTTTTGTTTAACTAATCTAATCCATCCATCTAATCCATCTAATCCATCTAGTCTGTCTACTCTGTCTAGTCTGTCTGCCTGTCTGCCTGCCTGGCTGGTTGGCTGGCTGTCTGTCTCTGTCTGTCTCTGTCTGTCTCTGTCTGTCTCTGTCTGTCTCTGTCAGTCTCTCTCTGTCTCTCTGTCTCTCTCTGTCTCTCTCTGTCTGTCTCTGTCTGTCTCTGTCTGTCTCTCTCTGTCTGTCTCTGTCTGTCTCTGTCTGTCTCTGTCTGTCTCTGTCTGTCTCTCTCTGTCTCTCTCTGTCTGTCTCTGTCTCTCTCTCTCTCTGTCTGTCTCTGTCTCTCTCTGTCTGTCTCTGTCTGTCTCTGTCTGTCTGTCTCTGTCTGTCTCTGTCTGTCTCTGTCTGTCTCTGTCTGTCTCTGTCTGTCTCTGTCTGTCTCTGTCTGTCTCTGTCTGTCTCTGTCTGTCTCTGTCTGTCTCTGTCTGTCTCTGTCTGTCTCTGTCTGTCTCTGTCTGTCTCTGTCTGTCTCTGTCTGTCTCTGTCTGTCTCTGTCTGTCTCTGTCTGTCTCTGTCTGTCTCTGTCTGTCTCTGTCTGTCTGTCTGTCTGTCTGTCTGTCTGTCTCTGTCTGTCTCTGTCTGTCTCTGTCTGTCTCTGTCTGTCTCTGTCTGTCTCTGTCTGTCTCTGTCTGTCTCTGTCTGTCTCTGTCTGTCTCTGTCTGTCTCTGTCTGTCTCTGTCTGTCTCTGTCTCTGTCTCTGTCTGTCTCTGTCTGTCTCTGTCTGTCTCTGTCTGTCTCTGTCTGTCTCTGTCTGTCTCTGTCTGTCTGTCTGTCTCTGTCTGTCTGTCTGTCTGTCTCTGTCTGTCTGTCTGTCTCTGTCTGTCTGTCTGTCTCTGTCTGTGTCTGTCTGTGTCTGTCTGTGTCTGTCTGTGTCTGTCTGTGTCTGTCTGTGTCTGTCTGTCTCTGTCTGTCTCTGTCTGTGTCTGTCTCTGTCTGTCTCTGTCTGTCTGTCTGTGTCTGTCTGTGTCTGTCTGTCTGTCTGTCTATTTACCTACCTATATAATATATCCAATCTATCTATTTGTTCGGCTGTCTATCTATAAAATGATAAAATAGATATTTAAAGAAAATGCACTAGGTAATAAAGTAAACAACCACGTGAAATTATAGGAAATTGAATAAGTGCATATTTTCTGAGATGCAACATGAATATAAACTCAAAAGCAAAACTAATCTGGTAGCAGCCATTGTTGTTTTAAATCTGTTTTCTTTATTTGATATTTTTCTAAGCTCACAAAATCATCAATTCCCAGACTTCCAAACCACCAACCCAAAACCACCACGTAAGCACAAATTGATTTTCCCTGCCTCGGCTGCATCCTCCCCAGAGAGTCCAGCACGGACAGCAGCCTGGCCTTAACAGAAAGTTGGTTCGTTGGGAAAATATAGCATGTGGTATGGGATAAACAGGTATGTATCGGGAAGGAACAAACCACAATTGTAAAGGAATCTCAACATAAGTGGTTCCTTACTTTTGGGAATTCGGTCACCCAACGTGATGATTGTGATGAATCAAAGGGTTTGCTCCCAAGCTTGATGGTGTCATATTCTCATATTTTCCCTATTAGAATTGCCATTTTCAGACACACCAATGGCAGCTCGTCGGATGCAAAAACCGTCCGGCGCCTGCAGCGCGAGCAGCCGCATCAACATCCTCTGCCGCATTCTTGCCGGAAGATCGTGCAGCTTCAGCGGCCGATATCCTGAGCCACCACCACCAACAGCAACACCTAAACTAGGGATTTTCTGGGGGGCCATCTATGGCTATCAGGGGTAAGGGATTAATGATTGACAGTGATAGTATGCAATGGTCAGAGCAATGGCAATTGTCATATTAGTAGTAGTAGTAGTAGCAGCAGTAGTAGTAGTAGGTGCGCGAAAAGGTAGGAAAGTCGCAAAATACTGTGTTTTTCCAATGATTTGTTGCTCCGGAGGGTCGAAAAGTAGGCTCGCTAAAGCGGCGGGTGCGGAGCCATCTGGCCAGATGAGAGATGAACAAATTCACGCCATTGTAGCACGAAGCACATTTCGAAGTCAGAGAGATAAATAGATAGGTAGATACAATAAGATAGATAGATACATAGTTAAATAGACATAAATAGACAGATGAGATAGATAGAAGGATGGATTCATAGACAGCTAGAAAGATAGATAGATAGATAGATAAATAGATAGATAGATAGATAGAAAGAAAGAAAATAGATAGATAGCTAGCTAGCTAGGTAGGTAGATAATCAGAGAAAGAGAGCAAAAGAGAGAGAAAGAGTGAGAGAGATCAATCACCTTTCAGTCCATCAGTGGCTTCGCTCTGCCATCCGTGATTCACAACAACCAACCTCTCCTATAGGTTTCCTATGTTTGAAACTTCCGCCACCGCCTTGTGCGGTACTACTGGTATAATAGTAGTATATAAATATATAGTGGCAAACAAATAACATCATCAGGTCTGTCTCTGCAAAACGAAAGTGTCCACAATGGCATCAGCTTTTCCATTTTTTCCGGCAATGATTTTCATTTTCTCACAACATTCACCTGTCTCCACCTGTCTTGGTGAGGCAAGTTTCCCAGCATCCGTGGCTTTTCCAGTTGCTTGCTGGATACCTTCAGGTGTCAAAGGCTGATTGTAGGAGTCGACCTCGGCTGGCTCATCTGCAGGGGTGGATCCCTCCTAATGCACTAAGATTGAGGCGGTCAGAGAGCAAACGCCAGTTGTAGTGCCGCAGTGCCCTTGTTGGCAAAGGCACTGCCCCTTGACACATTCCTCGCGAAGATGTGCCGAAGCATCAACGAGGTGGCGTTGGGAGACATCTTTTTACAAGTATCCACTTAACTGCGTGCCAAGAAGCTGTTGGCCCTCTGGAGCTATCACAAACTCCTAGAAGGCAAATGCCACCTGTATTCCTGCAGCAAAAAATTGAATATGTTGAACTGACACATCTTTGAATCTTTGGCAGTATTGTAGCTCGACATGCTATGGATTTGCTCCTGTTGCACTTTGTGCTGGACGGCTTTTGGCAGCCACAACCTTAATTTGGTGACAGGTCAGAGCTGGGATCCATCTAGAGCAACATGCTCAGCTGCTGCATGCTGCCAAGCTTCAATTGTACTCCGGGTAGTTGTGCATTTCGCCCATGGCCTCAAAGCAAAAGCTGCAACTGCTCGATTTGCACGTTCGCACTCCGCAAGCTTGACAACACAGCAAGGCCAGCAATTCCAATTGACACAATGACCACCCAGAAACTGTGTTCTAGTTGTGACTTGTGACTTCAATGCTGGCCGGGAGCGCCCATTTTTCCACGGTGCCATCTTTGCATAATCCCTTAGTTCGGTAGTACCTGTCAAGGATGATCAGCAACAGCATATCCAAATCGCAGGCACTCAGGAATGTGAAGCACAATCTTGATACCTTTCCAGACAAGTTGCTCGCATGTCCAGCCTGGATGGCACCAAACTAAACTGATCAAAATTCAAAATCCGCATGCGGAGTCCGGAGGAAGTTCCATGTCTTAGCACTGAACTCTTTGAGTCTCTTTGAGTCAAGCAACCCAAAGTCGACGGCCATGCAGCTCCTAGGGTTGGCTTGCACAATCGGGGATCTTTGCCTCCCTCTTCATAAGCACAGCCTGACCAACCTTGGTTCGTGCATGAGAGGCACGAACGCAGAAAGAACCAATGAACAAACACATGCATGCAGCTGCATGCACACAAACTCAGAAATGAGGAAACAAACCAACAACCCAAAACCACAAACAACCTAGATACACGAGCAACAAACTGCTGTGCAGGCTGATGCCAAGAAACCATTCGTCCAATCTGGCGTATCTCTGCACATGGACTGCGTTACATTGGTAGTCAAGACCTTCACAGGTCGCAGGCCAAACTTCTATAAATCTAGCAAAGGCTGCTTGAGACGGACCTGCCTCTTTGGTGCTCAGGGAGCAAATGCCACTCGAGTCTGCACAATGGCCAGGGAGGCACAAGCATTGCGTGAAATTGTGACCTGGGCACATCCACCGCAGCGAACAAAATGAACAAACAGCTGCGCAGTAAAATATATGTAGTGCCAGCAATCTCGGAATCAAATGACATCAAATGAGACCCTCTCTGGCTGAGGTCCGTGCAATATGCAGGGCCCTGTGAAAATCCACAAGTGCCAAATTCCAAGGCACAAAGCTTTCCTGTCTGCCGATTGCAAGTAGTGTCGTCCTCAAAACAATGGCGAAGCTTCGAATCTCTGGCTACCCTCTGGTAAACAGCCACATAACTATGGAAAAACACCATTTTTAATGGGAAAACTCACTATTTCTATGGGTATTTTCAATAGCTATTTTGACATAACCAGACGCTAACCATTTTCACCAAAACAGCTTCTCACCTGAGATTCGCAGCCACAGCAGTTCTTCTCCGGCCAGTTATGTAGGGCCCCCCTGACCGTGAGGAAACAAAGCAGTGGCGCTTTGTTTCACTCTATCAACATGCAGTGCAGCCTAAATAAATAGAATAAAATAACATAAAATAACATAAAATAAAATAACATAACATAAATAAATACATAAATTACATAAGTAGATAAATATATCATTATATCATTAGATTATCTGGAGTTATGATGAGTTATACAAATACAGAGCACGCCCAACAGTTCTAAATTTGTTACTGAGGAAGTAACTCAAACTCCACATCTTCCTGGCCTTGCTGACTGGCGAATCTCCTTGACAGCACCATTCTTTTCACCACATAGACCCTGCTGGCGGTAGTATTCGCAAGTCCAGCCTAGGTGACTTCGACAAACCTCGCTGACGGCTGTTGCTACATGCTAAGGGCGCGTCCTGCGGTCGATGGCCAACTTGCGTTGATAGTCGGTCTACATAACGTGGGGTCCTCCAGGGATTGAGGCAATAATAATCTCAGAGCCATTTCACATACTCGACGCGCATATAAATCTGCATTGATATGTGTGGATAGGATTGGATAGGTACGTCTGTAATCCCATGCGATGCCTGTTCATTTGCTTCCCAACAAATGCACGTAAACGCATTCGGACCTTCCCACCAGGAAGCCATGCACAGCCAGACCACCCATTTGACCAGCTGGGAGTATCTTGGCCTCGATGACCAATTCGTTGAGAGTTCACATTTCGAAGATGCGCAGTGATGAGACTTGCATCGCATCATCGTGAAAGGGGAAATCCATGGAAATGCTTGATCTGAGGGCCAAACATTCTTTGACACCTCCTTTCCTGAGCTCTTGATTTGAACGCAATGTGCCCTAATTGCAGCTGTTTCCTTCCTGATGTTTCGGGAACTGTTCAGCTTCAGCCCGAAAAGGTGACTGGCCAAGCGTCGGCGGTTTTTCCGCAGCGAAGGTGAGGCCCCAAAGGAGGAGCAACACAGCCTGGCAGAACACTTCGAGGCAACCGCAACATTATCGTGGCAGGTCCATGGTCCACACAATGATTCTACTGATTTCATCTGATTTCTACTGACAGAAGGCCAGCTTTTGAAGTACAGCTCATGGCAAGTCTCGCTGCTTCAAGATGCTCCAAGAAGTTCACTAGCCTCGCCTGCATCAAGCTCTGCATCGGCAAGATGTGCAAGTGAGGCCCATCTCACGAAACCGGCGTTCAGCAAGCGTGCGGCTCTTATGAAAGCTAGGCTGCCATGGGTGAGCCATGCAGGCGCTGTTTTGTCATGCGCTGATCTTGAGATAGACGTTCTCCTGTGAAAGCTTCTGTACAATCTAACTGAGTCTAACTGCTTTCCCATGACGATATCTTGCACCCAAACATCACCCTAAATCCACAACGTGTCTGAAGCAATCGGATCCATGCACAGCTGCGGCAGGGCAAACCAGGAAACACTGCTCCAAAATGCGTTGGCTGCCAGGTGAAAATAAATACTTCTGATGCAAGCAGTGGCTCTACTGTGAACTGATTGAGCACAGCAGCAGCTGTCAAATGTCACCTGCAAATGCCATGTCAAGTCAAAACAACACATAAAATATACATATTTGTTTAAGGCAAACAAGCCTTCAAACTGGAGCTGGGTCCTTTGAAGGCTAGCCTTTCTTTTTTGAGTCTCTTCTCTAAAAGATCCTCAAGGTCTGTCAACCTCCCTGAGCTTTGCAGGTGCGCTCATCGAGCCCAAAGACCAAAGTTTGGAACAAAACTAATCAAAACTATCTACTTTAAATATTGTCATCCCAGCCAGCTTCCTCACGCTTCATTTTCTCTTCCACCTGACACGCATGGGGTGCAACGACTCTAGCATAGAAAAGAGGTGTCTGCTTGTGTTTGTTTTCCAATGTTTTCCACTGGTTCTTCTATGTGCAGCCACCAGGAACTGGATGCATCGCTCTTAGCTTTTCTATCACCACACTTTTTTGGCACCTCTGCACGAAGTCTATGGAAGCAATTGTGTGTGGCCATGCTTGGCCGAGCTCTAATCACTCTAACAGACTCTAACCTCAAGCTGACTCTACCAAAGTGGTACCCAAGCACAGCATGCGTGCTTTTGCAGCGTCAGAGGCTTGTTGGTACAGTAGTGTTTGACGAGCCAGCAAAACCCACTCCTCGGCCTGTGATCTACATTGTCCTGCCAAGCCATCTAGGGCAGCAAGAGCCCCTCGCATCTCTCCACGCTCTATCAGTCTCAGGGCTTCAGCCAATGTTCGCAAATTCTTGTGCACATCTTTTCCGTCATCTATAGGTAGGGCTCCAAGCTTCGATTCCAAATCCTCCTGTATAGCAAGCTGAGTCTGTTCACCTTTGATCTTGTAAAGCCTTCCAAAGACTTGGCCAATAAAGCTGCCGAGATATCCCGCATGTTCCCCAGGTTCAAAAGCAGCTGCCATAAGTTCTGGCAGCTTTCTGTGAAATGCACGTTGGAGTTCTTCAGAAGTGATGGCCGGATCAGCGGCCAGGGTAGTGGCGGCAGAATGGCTGGCCTTTGCCACTCTGTGTTGTGGGCAATGGCCCTGGTTCCACAGCTCTTGAACTTGTCGGGTAAAGATTTCAGGTAATCCACGAAAGTAGGAGTCAAAGCTGCGAATGGCGCCAGTCAGATCCTCTTGAAGTTGAAGGTTGGTGCTAGAGTAAAGATCATAGATGTCCCTCTCTGACCGCTCCTGCACCTCTTCAACTGCGTCCTGCAGTGCTTCTTGAAGTCGCCTGGCAGCTAACTCTTTGAGCTCGGTTTCGCAGGTTTCCTTCCCCAACTTCTTCCTGGTGGTGAACTCCTCCTGGATTTTCCCAGTCTTTTCTTGCCTCTGAATTTCCCAATTTGGCAAAATCGCAGCCCAGGTGCCCGAGAGCTCAAGGGCTTCTCGTTGATGATGTGTGGCCAAAGCCTCTGCCAGCTGGGAGATGTGTTCTACAAGTTGAGCCTCTGTCATGGAAGCCTTTGCCGCCACAGCTGCGCTTACGTAGTCCTCCGGACGTCTGTCAGCTGAAGTAATGTGTGGGCCTGTGGCCACACCCGGCAGTGACAATGGTTCAATCGATTCATACAACTTTGGTATGCTGAGGTCATTGTCTATGTTTGCCACTCTTTCAGCGATTTCCAGTGCTGCTGATGGGGGACAACCAGCTTTAACGGCATCCTTTGCAGTCTGCTCGCACACCTTGCTATCTAAGGAGATGGTGTTCATGGCAGCCTCCAGGGCTTTGCCTGTCACTTCTCGGGTGTGTCTTCTCTGTTCTTCGTCCTTCATTTCTCGTAAATTCAACCTTGCCGACTCTATGACCTGGTCCAAAACATCAGACTTCATGCCAGTACTTTCCAGTTCCACCAGTGCAGCTTCCGCTTGAGCAACTCCATCTTCCATCTTCAACAAATCTGCAGCTTCACCTGCCAACCAGCGCCGCCGTTCTGCCCTGATTGAGCCAGCAGCAGCATCAAACTGTCTTTCTGCTGCCTCAGCCTTCTGCAATCTCTGAACGAACAGTCGCAAGAATGCAAAACTGCTCAACAACTTGCTAGCCAGCTGTGACTTTTCGCCCTGGGACTGTTGAAGATCTTTGAATGCATCCTCATTCACGAATGCCTGTAACGTGGAAAGCAAGGCGTGGAGGTCTTCATTGTCTGAATCCGTCGCTGAGTAGTACTCAGCTGCATCTTGAATGATGCTCACCTCAGCAAGGAGCTGGCTGCACCGCAAACAGGTTGTCTCCAGTGCCTGCAGTGCTGCCTGCTCAGCTTGTCTCTTTGCTTCAGCTTTACGTGCCGCTTCAGCTTCACGGGCTGCTTCAGCTTCAGCAGCTTGTGCTTCTTTGAGAGCAGCAGCCTTTGCAGCTTCAGCTTCGGCAGCATCTTCAGCTGCAGCTGCGGCTTTCGCTTCTTTGGCTTTCAACTCAGCTTCTGCTGCAGCTGCTACTGCCGCTGTCTCAGCATCTTTTTGCAAATCCCTTTGCTGCTTGAGGTACAAAGCACCGACACCGGCACTACCTGCTACACCCAAGAGCAGCCAAGGGAATCTTCGACGCTGCACATCAACCACTTCGACCTCAAAAGGAGACTCTTTCCCTCCACTGGCCCATCGTTGCAGTGGTTGAAGGTTCCGTCTTGATCGGGACGAAGCAAACAGGAGGCGACTACAGCCTGAGGAAATCTTGCTGTCTACATGGGAAGCGCAGCTCGGAATGAATGGTCTATATAAGGCTTTCTGACCTCCTAAACTTCCCACACTGCTATAATACCGGTTGAAGGCTTCCGTTTGAAAAATCAACCTCCACAAGTGCTGTGGTATACTATCACACTGAAGTTAATTAAGCCAAGATACTTTGGGGAAGCTTTCCACTGCCGACCATCCTGTCCTTGGAGCTGATGACACAGTTAAACTAATCTCGGGCATTCCCTGTTCACACCAACATACACCAACTCTCAAAAGCTAAATATACATTGTCACTGGCTACAATAGTTCAAACATCCTCCAACCTTTGCCTCTTCAAGACATTTTAGTTCATTTGGCGCAGTACAAAATATCGGGTAAACGACTTGCGGCTTGAGATGTGGAAACCTGTGGGATAGTAAACCCGTGCTGCAATGCATCGCACAACCGCTGAAGTCTTGATGCTTGCAATTCTGCTCTGCAGTTCTATTGGTCCTACTATTCTGCATTGATTGAACTTCAAACGCTGGTAGAATCGATAGGATCTCAAGGAAACATGGCCAGACTCAGTGCATCCAGGGTTCCTGCCATGATTTGTGGAGCAAGTCGTTTAAATAAAAGCAGCTAAGCAGCTAGCTTTTAGTACCAAATGCAGCGGTGCACAACCCAGGCAGAATCCACGCCCTTTGTCTTCACTACGGTTTGTGTCATGCCAGATTTACGAGACATATAGAAACATGCCACGTAAATACAGGTATATAAATGCTCCATGATACTTTTGCAACTATGTAAATACTCCATCATCTTGAGAATTCCAGCAAATTTCGGCATCGAAGCGCACCATTCGGGTGTAGGCGCTCTTTTCTCCATCCTTTCGGTTGAAGTCCTGACGCTGCCCCGGCCATGCCACATATGCCACGGCCTGAGGTGCTGTGTCGGTGTCCTCCAACTGGGCGAAATTCTTCCGCTTCGCGATGAGTTTGCTGAGGGCTGGCGGATATTGGCCTGGCAGATCTGATCTACTCAAAACATCTCAAAACTCTGGGCCAAACAAGTTAGGATGAAACATGATGAAACCTAAACAAGAACTGCATGAGGATTTAGAAAATAAAACCGCATCCAGCTATATCCACTCGCCAAATGCACCATGCTGATTAGAATCGCATATGGCATATCGATGCATATGGCTGCGCATGGCCCATTCAATTCGTGTGACTTCTAAACCCCCACATCTCATGTGCTTTGCCAAACTCGGAGATGCGCACCGACACAGTACCAACTTCCCGGTGCATCACACTTCCGGTTTGCTGGATCGGCTATCCAGTTCTGGCGTCGTGAAAAATATGCAGCTTGTTTCGAAGTGACAAATCACCAAAAGGATCCAAACTGGCAGTAGTTTTGCACAACAAGGACAAGACTAGACGCCAATGAAGAACGACTCGAAATTCGATGAAATCTGGAGGTGCAAAAGCTGAACTTTGAGGAAGGGTTTATGGCGCATTTTGGCAGCTGGATTGTAAGGTTGACAACAAACAAACCAGATCAAACCAGTAACTCAAGCAACGCTAGCCACTAGCCAAGTCTACCAAAGTGATGATGATGCAACTAGACAACAATGACGCACCTTCGATTCTTCAGATACACCAAGGACCTCAAGTTGGCAAACTGTGGCAGTTGATGGCAGTTACTGCAACCTGCTGAAATGCCTTTGCACTGAGGTTGCGTCCTTGAATATTCGCATCAAGCCGTACTTGGTAGTGTGGACCTACCGAGATGTCCCATTCCGAGAGCAAACATCACGCACAAATCACACAAATCTGTGGCAAATGAACTCCGACCTCTTTGAAGAGCTTTGGATCCAATCGAACTCCCTCCATGTTGTGCTTGACGGCCTTCAGAGGTCAATATTTGGTTAAAACTCAAAGGAACGAAACTGGATGTGAAAGTAAGCCTTGTAGAGGAATGAAGAAGCCATCATCTCGGTTGGCTCACCCGTGTGGGTGAAGCCAAATTTCCTGTCCATTGACCAATTGCAGAAAATAGGGATGGAGAAAGTTGAGCAAAGGAATGAACAGATTTGCATGAGGCCTGCATGTTGGATCGTCTTCACCACACGTCTTGGCCAGCGTCAGAGCCAGTCACCCGAGTCAGTCGCCCCAAATATCCGAGAAAGACCCTGAAACCTCGTGGTTGTGAGCTTCGACACATTTGGGCTAAGCTTCTGGCATCAGGGAACACTGAATTGGCAATGCGAGCCTCAACACCGATGGCATCACAGGGGTTGCATCCCATGGTGCCATGTGGTGCCATGTGGTGCCATGTGGTGCCTGGATGTTACCACCAGGATCTCCTAAGGCTTCGCACCAAATGGGGAGACTTGCCCATATCATCACCATGTCCTCCAGCCCAGACCTGGTGAAACTGCTAGGTCGGTCTCCCAGCCCGTCAGGGTAACTGAGGCTGCCCGCCAAGACATAGTCTGCAAGATGCTTCCTGGCCAATCATCGAGGGATCAAATGGACTGGATGTAGGTTGTCATCTGGGATCTGCCATCAGCTGAGTTTGCCACATGATGTTGTGAGCCTTCTTCTCTGGGTTCGTCAAAGTGCCTAGCATGGAAAAAACGGTAAACATTCTAGGTGCTGCCAGGTGGTTGCCAACATCAGAAGGTGACACAAAATGTTGACTAATCAACTGAGTGCAAAACGGCCCAACGTGGCGATGTGTTCGTGGTTCCATGTGTTGCCATCAGCTATTGATGTTCGGTTACCTTGGTCGCCAGGAGGTCATGAGATACCAAGCTATGCCAAGCTATGCCAAGCTATGCCAAGCTATGCCAAGCTATGCCAAGCTATGCCAAACCCACTGTCTACAGCTTTGGGTTTCAAGATTTTCCAAGGTATGCACCGATTCCAGTGATTTGATAGCCATAGTCCCACCAGGCCATCACTCGGGCATCCGCAGGTGTGTTGTCCTGGTCTTGCATGGTCTCGACTTTGAAGCCACTTGACAACAGGATATCAAATATGTGGAATAACATCGAATAAGTGTTCATGGCATTGATGACTCGAACATCTGATTGGTTGGCCTGCCTTCATCCACTTGTAGCCGTCGAGGTAGTCTGTGATCAGACCCTTCGGAAAAACACAGAGGCACAAATATCATAGACTGCTGTAACATTATGTAACATTGGTGTCAAAGTGTCCCTTCAACAAACCTTACAGAATCACCCCTCCTCTTGATACAAGTACTGTCTAATGGTCTAATTGCCTGGCCTGACCGCTTTTGAAGACGATTGATGGATGGCCCATATGCTGGCAACAGGAACACGTGAGGGGACACCACAGCCCAATGCAACTGGCAGAAAGAATGTAACGTAAAACTAAGCATGAAGGATTGGCTGGAGCAATCTCTTCGCATTCCCGGATAAACTTCTTGGTCTCAGCCGCAATGCGCGCACATGAACCATCTTGAACTATCTATTTCACAGCCGCACATCCTTCAAAATGCTGCATCAAATCGAAGTCAGGAGCTGGCGGGCTCGCGAATGTTCACATACCCAGTGACCAAGACCATGATGGCAACACTGCATCTGATCGCCCTGGAATGCCAGGAATTGAAAGCCTTCAGAAATCCCCTGGAAAATCCTCAAAAACATCCCAAACCCGTTGCTGCACCTGCATGGGCGTGGGAATTGGCCATGTATATCCTCAAGCAGCTTTAGCGTATCTTGCGCCTGCACCAGAAACGGCACCGAAGGAACTCGGAATGCGAAATCACCACACCAGGGCATTCAGGAGACCTCTGTCGGCAGGGCCATGGGCTGACAATAGCTCCAAAGAACTCGGAATATGGAGCCCATGCCTGGTGCCCAAGACTTGCTCGAATGGCTTGAAACCCAAAACACCTCAAACACCTACTCAACTTATGATTTGGATGTTCAACAACGACGACGACGACGGCCACGACGACGACGACAACCCACAACCACAACCACAACCACACCCAACAACCAACAACCAACAACCAAAACAACCAACAACCAACAACCAACAACCAAAACAATCAAAACAATCAAAACAATCAAAGCAATCAAAACAATCAAAACAACCAACAGCTCAACAATTCAACAACTCAACAGCTCAGTCAACAACTCAACAACTCAGTCAACAACTCAACAACAACGACAACAACAACGACAAAAACAACAACAACAACAACAACCACAATCACAACAACCACAACAACCACAACAACCACAACAACCACAACAACCACAACAACCACAACAACCACAACAACCACAACAACCACAACAACAACAACAACAACAACCAACAACAACAACCAACAACAACCAGCAACAACCAGCAACAACCAGCAACAACCAACAACAACCAACAACAACCAACAACAACCAACAACAACCAACAACAACCAACAACAACCAACAACACCCAACAACAACCAACAACAACCAACAACAACCAACAACAACCAACAACAACCAACAACAACCAACAACAACCAACAACAACCAACAACAACCAACAACAAAAAACAAACAAACAAACAAACAAACAACCAACAACCAGCAACAACCAGCAACAACCCGCAACAACCAACAACAGCCAACAACAGCCAACAACAGCCAACAACAGCCAACAACAGCCAATAACAGCCAACAACAGCCAACAACAACAACAACAACGACAACGACAACGACAACGACAACAACAACGACAACAACGACAACAACGACAACAACGACAACAACAACAACGACAACGACAACGACAACAACGACAACGACAACGACAACGACAACGACGACAACAACAACAACAACAACAACAACAACCAACAGAACCAACAGAACCAACAGAACCAACAGAACCAACAGAACCAACAGAACCAACAGAACCAACAGAACCAACAGAACCAACAGAACCAACAGAACCAACAGAACCAACAGAACCAACAGAACCAAAACAACCCAAACAACCCAAACAACCAAAACAACCAAAACAACCAAAACAACCAAAACAACCAAAACAACCAAAACAACCAAAACAACCAAAACAACCAAAACAACCAAAACAACCAAAACAACCAAACAACCCAACAACCCAACAACCCAACAACCCAACAACCCAACAACTCAACATCCCAACAACCCAACAACCCAACAACCCAACAACCCAACAACCCAACAACGCAACAACGCAACAACGCAACAACGCAACAACGCAACAACCCAACAACCCAACAACTCAACAACTCAACAACTCAACAACTCAACAACTCAACAACTCAACAACTCAACAACCCAACAACCCAACAGCCCAACAGCCCAACAGCTCAACAGCTCAACAGCTCAACAGCTCAACAGCTCAACAGCTCAACAGCTCAACAGCTCAACAGCTCAACAGCTCAACAGCTCAACAGCTCAACAGCTCAACAACTCAACAGCTCAACAACTCAACAACTCAACAACTCAACAACTCAACAACTCAACAACTCAACAACTCAACAACTCAAAAACTCAACAACTCAACAACTCAACAACTCAACAACTCAACAACTCAACAACTCAACAACTCAACAACTCAACAACTCAACAACTCAACAACTCAACAACTCAACAACTCAACAATTCAACAACAACAACAACAACAACAACCACAACAACCACAACAACCACAACAACCACAACAACCACAACAACCACAACAACCACAACAACCACAACAACCACAACAACCACAACAACCAACAACCAACAACCAACAACCAACAACCATTAACCAACAACCAACAACCAACAACCAACAACCAACAACGACAACAACGACAACAACGACAACAACGACAACAACAATCAACAATCAACAACAACAACAACAACAACAACCACAACAACAACCACAACAACAACCACAACAACAACCACAACAACAACCACAACAACAACCACAACAACAACCACAACAACAACCACAACAACAACCACAACAACAACCAAAACAACAACCAACAACCAACCACCACCACCACCACCAGCAACAACAACATTAACAACCACAACCACAACCAACAACCACAACAACAACAACAACAACAACAAGAACAACCACAACCACAACCAACAACCAACAACCAACAACAGCGAACAAAGAGAAACAAAGATAGACAAAGATAAACAAAGAGAAACAAACAGAAACAGCAGAAACAAACAGAAACAAAGATAAACAAACAGAAACAAAAAGAAACAGCAGAAACAAACAGAAACAAACAGAAACAAACAGAAACAACAGAAACAAACAGAAACAAACAGAAACAACAGAAACAACAGAAACAAACAGAAACAAACAGAAACAAACAGAAACAACCGAAACAAACGGAAACAAACAGAAACAAACAGAAACAACAGAAACAACAACAGACTGGACAGTATGTTGGGTACATTTGTGCAGATGGGTGCAGATGGGTGCAAATGGGTGCACTATAGGGTTGCCATCTCAAACAGCCACAGCACCCAAAAAAAACACGGACATGCTGAGACAGGAAGGCGATGGGCCTCCTGATCTCAGCTCCTTCTGAGGTTCAGCGAGTGGCCGTGGTGCACAAAGCAGGTTCAGGAATTGCTGCAAGCACCTTCGAATCTTTCGGGACCAAACAAAATTGGAAACTGTGATTCGCCCACAAGGTTTCCTATTAGACTATCTAGAATCAACGGGGTTGGCGGGTAGGCCGCCATAGGAACATTATGGAATCCATGGAATATGTTGCCATCGACAAGAGTAAGCGCTGCACCAGTCCACAACGATTCCAACTGGGTAGCCAGCCAGCATTGACCTTCATTTTGAAGGGTATCCACAACTCTGCATGTTGGATCCATACCAAGGCGTAAGTCCCAAGCACGATGGGCCCGCAAATAATCATCAATCTAGACCTCAAAAGACATTTCACGACATCTCATTTGGAAGGAAGGTGATATACACACAACATATTAAAATCAGAAATACTGAGACCCTTAACATTTTCCCCGAGAAGTGCCAGGCAACAGCTGCATAAATGACCTGGCACAGGCACTGCAGGGTGGCTGTGCTAAGACAATTCCAAACTCGGCTTGAATCGCTGCCGGCTGCACAGGAAAAATCTTCGCTGGTGTGCGTTGGTGCCAGCCTTGAGAATGGACATCTACCACTAAGGCTCTCTGAATTGTTCCGGTAATACGGTATGGTGGGTGTTCCCCGACGCTGCAACCTATGGATACCTGTAGGATGCACGTTGCAGAAGCCCTTTGGCCCAAGGTTGCAGCAAAACAAGAGACCAACTGCAGCCACCTTGGGGGGCCACACTGATCAGCTTCAAACTGGACACTGCTATGGCATGCTGAGGCTTTGGCAAACCGAGCGTCACCCAGAAATTGCCTTCAGCAAATGCAGCAGGACATGAGGGTGGAGGGAGCGGAGACCCCGCGGGCAAAGTAGACGGGTCACGTCTTAATGTGAGTCTTGTATTTCACGTGCCACGAAACGAAGCCCACTATATCCCACTATATAATCATCACGGGACACGTGCTTCCACCTGTAACCAGTCTTCAGGCCAACACGCATATGCTTGATTGCTGGTTGCGGAATGCTCAGCCACTGAATCAACCTAAGGATGATGGAATCATCAGTTGACTCTCATTGACTCTTGGTTTGCCAGCGGCAACTCACATGGCATCTCTGTAGCACAGGTGCAGATGCTGTATCTGGGTGCCAGGGCAAGGGGATTTCCGGTCTTCTTGTGCTTTAGGAAAAGACCGCGTATTCTCGCCTGGGCTGTATGAGTGGATAGCAAGCGAACGACATTCATCACATCAAATCTAATGCAACCCGAAGACCCAAAGTGAAGGTCTGAGCTCAATGCACCCAGAGGAGCGAAGTGGCCGAGGCTGACAAAGAGATGGAGAGAATTTTGCAAAAGCCAAGTCCAGCCAGGTCACTTATTTCAATTTCTGTGGCTATTTCATTGCCTTTTTGCCTTTGTACTGTTTCAATCTGTTTCATCTCCAGACATGTTCAGGATCCCTGCCTGTACAGCACCCAGCACACGCCGGCACCCACAAGGATGGCTAGAGCAAACACTCCCTGCCGATACCGACAAAGCATCCACACAGTATCACTCTCCGAGCTTGCGGTCACCAAAGGCTCCCACCACTCTGAAGGCAAAGAATACCCAGGGGTTGGCTAAACCTTGGAGTACCACCGTACTGTTTTGGCCCTTCAAGGCAAAGTTCTGCTGAGATCTCATGTGCTTGGATTCATGCGAGATGTGCGGTGACGGGTCAGGTCACAAATCTGCATCCTGATCTACAAATAAATTGCAACGAAGCGTCGAAGCACTTGTGCTGGCTACGCATGACACTCACAGCTGAAAGCAAAACTGAGGACTCATCAGCTGAAAGGTGATGAACACCAGCAGCGTAGGCATCCTGAACTCTGGAAGCTGCTTCCCTGACCTCCTCAAATCCATGCAACATCCCGCAAATATAAAGGGTCTGAGCTCTGATCTGCTCAACTGCCTTCAATGGAGACCATCCAATGACAGGAACAAGCCTCGGAGAATCTCAGTCAGCACCACCCACAACAGTCTGACAGCTTGTCGGAATACAAGAACTGACAATGTGATAAGCGCATACATCTGCAAGACGCAACGTAGCCAATGAAGTGCCGATCACGTACCAAAGCGTGTATGCCTACAAAATCTACAAAGCACATGCCATCGCGAGAATAATCTGTGCACATCTGTGCACCCACATGGTCACGTGGTGCTTCCCTTGGGCCAACCCTCTTCAGTGTGCTTCAGTGTGCTTCTGTCAAAAAAAACATGCAACACCTGAGATTTGGCGAAAAGAGGAAAAGAGAGCCTTGTAAAGGTCGGAGTTGTTTTTGCCCAAAGCTACTAGCACAGCTGCATGGAGACCTTGCAGGAAGGTCTCAGCAAAATGTCACCAGTCTCCTGCTACCCTCCTGCTACAGCTGTGCCCAAGCTTTGCACCGATCATGTTGTTGACAAAAATGTAGCCACCCCATGTAGCCCTGCGAGCTGCGACATGACCAATCCACTAACCCCAAAACTCCGCTGAGTCTGGCACGCCGCAGTGAAGTATGCCAGGCCTGGAGCTGCAAAAAGCGAGTGTAACACAACACATTGCACAATCACATTGCATGCACTGCATATCTATGTTTATATGATATAAGATGTATGTAAGATTATATACTGTGAGAATATGTAAGGCATATCAGTATCCATTAGCAAAACGAGTCAAACTGAGCGCAGGACCAGCGAGGATGCTCCATGGCCATGACTGTGGTGTTCGAATGGAACGACACCACCTGATATCCCAGGAGTATGGACGCGATGAATGCTGGAGATTCAAAGGACATATCCCTGAAATCGGTAAGCTTGCACAAGACTTGCACGGCACTCGGTTGCTGGCAGCCAGAATGTGGCACAAAAGCATGCAACCTTACTCCCAAAAAGAAGCGATACTGGCAACGTAACCATTTCAAGATATTTCACGCCTTTCGACACCACAGCATGACAAGATCGCTGAGCCAACTGCCGCCACGGCTTCATTGTCATACTCACCGGCGCTTGAGCGCATCATGTGAGCTGGAATGATGGCCATCACCTGATTCAGCAGGCTCCAGAAATCTTTGGCTCGGAATCTGTGACACCATTGTGATCTTGAAGTCTTGAAAATGGCTTGCACAATCAGGGCTGTCTGGGCTTTGCACAAGCCCAGCTGCAACACCAGCTGAAGTACTCTCTGAAGCCTACATCTCTGGCAACGAACACCGTTTATTGACTCTCTGATGAAGGTGTCGAGATGTATTATGGTGCATCCATGTGTGGGTCTTATTGTCTAATTTTGATTCCAAGGAGGTAACGGCCTCCCCAGTTTGCATAAGCGCGCCCATTAAAAATGCATACAAACACATGTGTCGTGTGTTATTCTAATTGTGCAAACAATGTAAGATTCTATAATGACCGGGACCGATCTCCCATGCACAACCTCCATTGTGAGCAGCACAAGGAACAGCGTAGCCACCCCACCTGAATGAGCACAGGTAGAGTTGAAGCTCACGATATTTCACGATACTGTCCCCAGCCGAGCTGAGGTTTGCACCAAACCAAGCTGGTGTCAAAACCTCACATTCGAAGTGGCAGTCAAGAGCACTCTATGGGCTCTATGCGCTCCATGTCCGTCTTTTCCATATGTTATAAACAAATGTTGCTTCTGCGATCATGCAGGTGTGTCGGCCCTGCCGCTCCCAAGAAGCATCTTCGGTAGTTCATCTTATCTCATTAATTCAGTCATATTCAGTCTTTCTGCAAACGGCAGAATGGACATCATCCGAGTGCAGACAAGTCACACAAACGTCGTTCAAGCTCATTGAAGAGAACTCAGTTGCCAAGGGGGGAATAAGAGGCGGACTGCTTCGGCATCGTAGCAGCTGGGGTAGCAACACACTGGGAGGTAGTTCCGAGACTTGTGCTGAGAGTTTTCCGTGACCGGGAAAGTAAGTCTTCCAACCTGCCCATCTAATTCTTGACATGTCAAAGCACGAATGAGAGACAAGTGTCAGTACATCGATCTCCCCAACACCTTTCGGCAGCTGCTCTAGCCACTTCATTTCCCACTCTGCCTTGCAGATTGAATCAGATTGATTCAGATTGCTTCAGGAATCAAATGCATGCCTGGAAGTGATGGCTACAGTATATCAAACAATTTGGATTCATAGATCAAACTGCTTTGTCGGCTATTCACTTCAGCCATCTCACAATTGTAAAGACAATCGTTATATAGATGTACTCTGATGTAATTAATCATGGTATCTCTCAGCATTCGTCCTTCGGAAGAAGTTTCATGACCTAGGGTTGCATCAAAATCCACACAGCTTGAAGGCTTATTCCATGACCACACGTTCCTACATGATCAACATCACCAACACTACGTATACAAACACACGATATGATGTCATAGCATAGCCTATCCTACCTGCGTCCTTTCATTGCCAATTAAAATCTGAATGCGCTGAGCTGGACACTTTCCAAATGCCAATGCTGGCAAACCTGCTGCAGGCTTTGACAATACAGACTCTGTAGGAAGGGAGGGAGGGAGGGAGAGGGGGAGAGAGAGAGAGAGAGGGAGAGAGAGGGAGAGAGAGGGAGAGAGCTGAGAGAGAGAGAGAGAGAGACAGAGAGAGAGACAGAGAGAGAGAGAGAGCGAGAGAGGGAGAGAGAGAGAGAGAGAGACAGGGTGACACAGAGTGACACAGAGTGACGCAGAGAGACACAGAGAGACAAAGAGAGAGACAGAGAGAGACACAGAGAGACACAGAGAGAGACACAGAGAGAGACACAGAGAGACACAGAGAGAGAGAGAGAGACAGAGAGAGACAGAGAGAGACACAGAGAGACACAGAGAGAGAGAGAGAGAGACAGAGAGACAGAGAGACAGAGAGACAGAGAGAGAGACACAGAGAGAGAGAGAGAGACACAGAGAGAGAGAGAGAGACACAGAGAGAGAGAGAGACACAGAGAGAGAGAGAGAGACACAGAGAGAGAGAGAGAGACACAGAGAGAGAGACAGAGAGACAGAGAGACAGAGAGACAGAGAGAGAGAGAGAGACAGAGAGAGAGAGAGAGAGGGAGAGAGAGACACAGAGAGACAGAGACACAGAGAGAGAGAGAGAGGGAGAGAGAGAGAGAGAGAGACAGACAGAGAGAGAGAGAGACACAGAGAGAGAGAGAGAGACACAGAGAGAGAGAGAGAGTGCAAAATGTCTCATGTATGGACCAAAGGGGCACTAAGGAAATACAGGTTCCACAAGTCGTGTTAATAAAATCTGCTGTATACATATTTAGCATTATTTAGACATGTCTGTCATGATCTGCTATGTTTATGTAGCACATGTGAGGCCCTCGAACCCTTCTTGGAGCAAGAAGTCACGACTGAAAGTCTCAGCCAGCTGAAGCCACCCGGGCTTCGCAAGACCCACACGAAGCCATGAACAATCCGCACTTCTTGCAGCACAGGAACTGCATTCCAGGATAAGTTGTGGTCCCGATTGGCCGACCAATAGGATACCAGCTCATGTAGTCGTACCTCCCATGTTCGAATGCTCAAATAGCATCCATTTCGGAACGAGGACCACCCTGAACCCAGCCACCAACCATAAGGAACATCAAGCCCTAAGCCATTGGATTCAGCATGTTTCAACCACTTTCCAACTGAGTGCCAAACCACTTCGCAAACTTGAACCAACCGTTCTTGGCCAAATACTGTGCGACACGAAAGTTAAACCTGCCAAGCAGGAACACTGCTCTTTGCATGTCTTATTACAGTAGATGTGTTTTCTACATTGCTTTACCTGAGTTAATCTGATACCAAAGTCCGCTCTTGAAGAGAATCAGCAATGAAGTAAGCTCGAATGGGGCGCGCCATGGATCGAACTCGTGAATGAGATAGCCATAGTCGCGAACGGGCTCAGTGGATAGTGCAAAATGCAAATCATCAAAGAGAGATAAGTGTGATATGCAAATCCTCTACATGCCTCCAGATCCCTTTATTCACATCTTTGGCACGTGCCTTTGTGCAGAATAGACAAAAGTAAGTGCCCAGCGTGCATGCGTATTCTATATGCCCACAGGCAAGTGTAAGCGACAACCACGAGCCTATGGGACAGTGTTGCTTCATGAGCATATTTTGAGCAAGAGTCACCAACAGCCGGCGCGCATGCATTTTCCGCTGGCATTTGGCATTAGTGGCCGGGTACTTTTACAGGCCTTTCAAATCAATGACAGAAAGGAGCAGTGCAGGGATGTGCAGGGTCACAGAAGCTAAATATGGGTTTATCATCATTCCCCCTCTGAAAAATTGTGAGCTTTATCCATTTCGGAGATATACGATATACATCGATATACCGATATACCAGACAAACCCATGTAGCTCACAGCACTGCTGCCAGTGCTTCCACGATCTTCCACGCTTTGCCGCATCACTTCACGGCCCGGAGCTCGGACGCACGATGAAGATTGTAACGCGCTCTGTGTCCTCAAGCCTGGGAAAGGACTGCAACAGCTGATACAACGTGATACTGTAAACATCTGGATAAGCATCATGATGAATCATCATGAATCATCATAAAAACGTCTGAATCATGTGAAATCATGTGAAGATGTGAAAACACCTTGAGCCAAGCAACGTTTTCAAACGTCTCCTGCCAAAAGAGACACTAAGACATACTGAGACAAGTCCAAGGGAAGGTAGCAGGTAGTATTATAACGATGGGGCATTTTGCATGATTGTGTCAAAAGAGTGCACCACCCCATTACAACAACACACTGTTAGTAATTATATATTGTTGTCCAAACTCTTCGCAGTGAAATAAGTGCATTGAATCAATGTCTCTCCTTAGGACCTCTGCCAAAAGGCAAGCCTCTGAGCAGGAAGTCTTGTCCTTAGCTTTGCAGGTCTATCTTGGTCCACCCTCTTGAAATTCCGCTGAAATGCAAATCATTGAAGCGGCACACATCTATACACAGCTATGATACCTGGACACTTTTAACACACATGCAGACCAAACAAGCCATCGGGAGATCCCTTAAGCGTTCAGGACAAGTATCAGACTTCACCGTCAGCGTCACCTTGATGCTTTGAAGTGTGAACATGTGTGAACGAGTTGCCAGTGCTTCGGAAGCTCTATGAAAGGGTAAGCATGGCCAAGCAACAAAAATAAAAGGACCGGATAACCCCACAAGTGAACTTCTTCCAATAATGAGCAACAAATGTTGTAGCGGGAACGGGGAAGGAAGGAAAGACAAAGGAGGAGGTGGAGAAAACATGGGGTGTGACAGTGTGACAAAGTTGTGTGTGACAAAAATGGTGTGGTGAAAGATGGTGCGTGACAAAGTTGTGTGTGAAAGATGGTGTGTGAAAAAGTGGTGTGAAAGATGGTGTGTGACAGAGTGGTGTAAGAAAGATGGTGTGTGAAAGATGGTGTGTGACAAAGTGGTGTGAAAGATGGTGTGTGACAAAGTTGCGTGTGAAAGATGGTGTGGGACAAAGTGGTGTGAAAGATGGTGTGAAAGATGGTGTGAAAGATGGTGTGAAAGATGGTGTGGTGAAAGATGGTGCGTGACAAAGTTGTGTGTGAAAGATGGTGTGTGAAAAAGTGGTGTGAAAGATGGTGTGTGACAGAGTGGTGTAAGAAAGATGGTGTGTGAAAGATGGTGTGTGACAAAGTGGTGTGAAAAATGGTGTGTGACAAAGTGGTGTAAGAAAGATGGTGTGTGACAAAATTGTGTGTGAAAGATGGTGTGTGACAAAGTTGTGTGTGAAAGATTGTGTGGGACAAAGTGGTGTGAAAGATGGTGTGTCAAAGATGGCGTGTCAAGGATGGTGTGTGACAAAGGTGGTGTGTGACAAGATAGTGGATGACAAGATGGTGTGTGACAAAGAGGTGTGCGAAAGATGGCGTGTCAAAGATGGTGTGTGACAAAGCGGTGTGTCAAAGATGGGGTGTGAAAAATGGTGTGTGACAAAGTGCTATGAAAGATGATGTGTGACAGATGTTGTGTGACAAAGTGGTATGACAAAGATGGTGTGTGAAAGATGGTGGGTGACAAAGCGGTGTGCCAAAGAAGGTGTGTGACAAAGCTGTGTGTGAAAGATAGAGTGTGTGTGTGTGAAAGTTGTGCGTGAAAGAGAGGGTATGACAAAGTTGTGTGAAAGATGGTGTGTCACAAAAGAGGCCCAAGCGCGCCACCAGAGCCAGCCCAGTGCCATAAGTGCCACGCCTGCCACGCAAAGTACGGTCGATGTCTCCAAGTGCCACGCCTGCCACGCAAAATGAAGGTCGATGTCACCAAGTACCACACCTGCAATGCAAAATGAAAGTTGATGTCACCAAGTGCAACGCCACAAGACAGCCAGCCGCGGTCTGAGCGGCGACCAGGCACGCAGCAGCTCCTCCAGAAGGCTCTGTGTACTGCCCCTGCCACACGAAAGCCAGCCGCAGCCCAAGCGGCGACCCCGCGCGCAGCAGCTCCTCCAGAAGGCTCTGTGTGCTGCGCCGCAGCCCAAGCGGCGACCACGCGCGCAGCAGCTCCGCCAGGACGCTCTGTGTACTGCGCCTGCCACACGGCAGCCAGCTGCGGGCCAAGCGGCGACCACGCGCGCCGCAGCTCCTCCAGGAGGCTCTAGTACTGCGCCTGCCACACGAAAGCCAGCCGCGGCCCAAGCGGCGACCACGCGCACCGCAGCTCCTCCAGAAGGCTCTGTGTGCTGCGCCGAGCCGCAGCCCAAGCGGGGACCACGCGCGCAGCAGCTCCGCCAGGAGGCTCTGTGTACTGCGCCTGCCACACGGCAGCCAGCCGCGGGCCAAGCGGCGACCACGCGCGCCGCAGCTCCTCCAGGAGGCTCTGTGTACTGCGCCTGCCACACGAAAGCCAGCCGCGGCCCAAGCGGCGACCACGCGCGCCGCAGCTCCTCCAGAAGGCTCTGTGTACTGCGCTTGCCAAACGGCAGCCAGCCGCGGCCCAAGCAGCGACCACGCGCGCCGCAGCTCCTCCAGGAGGCTCTGTGTACTGCGCCTGCGACACGAAAGCCAGCCGCGGCCCAAGCGGCGGCCACGCGTGCGGCAGCTCCTCCAGAAGGCTCTGTGTACTGCGCCTGTCACACGGGAGGCAGCCGCGGCCCAAGCGGCGACCATGTGTGCCGCAGCTCCTCCAAAAGGCTCTGTGTGCTGCGCCTGCCACACGGCAGCCAGCCGCGGCCCAAGCGGCGACCACGGCGCCGCAGCTCCTCCAGGAGGCTCTGTGTACTGCGCCTGCCACACGAAAGCCAGCCGCGGCCCAAGCGGCGACCACGCGCGCCGCAGCTCGTCCAGAAGGCTCTGTGTACTGCGCCTGCCACACGACAGCCAGCCGCGGGCAAGCTGTGCTGTGACAAGTGGTGTGATGAGTTGTGCTGTGATGAGTGAGATGTGATAAGTGGTGCGGTGATGAGTTGTGATGAGTTGTGCTGTGATGAGTGAGATGTGATAAGTGGTGTGATGAGTTGTGCTGTCACGAGTGAGGTGTGATGAGTAGTGATGAGTAGTGCTGTGATGAGTGAGGTTGACAAGTGGTGTGATGAGTATAGTGCTGTGATGAGTAGTGCTGTGATGAGTGAGGTGTGATGAGTGAGGTGAGTGAGGGACGCGGCGGCGGGCGGACGCGGACGCGGAGGCGGCAGCGGCGCGGCGGGATGCAAGCGAAAAACAAGAACCCCAGACACAGTGATGTGGGGAATAACAAAAGTTCTGGTTCAAGATGGTAGCAATAAAGGCCATGCACAACTCAGGGTGGCTTCGCACATGGAACCTTTGACGCCAGGTGCCTCCACCGTGTTGCCGACCCCGGAGACATAAGCTTTGATGTCCTCCGTGTCCACCGTGCACGGGGAGTCTTCCTGGAATCAAAGCTCAGAGACTCTGGCTTCGATATTTCGGACATTCTCAAACCCTTTGCAGTCAATGCGCGGTAAATACCATCTAGGTCGCTAGGTGGACTTTGTAGGGTTTAGCATCGTTTAGAAACTCACAATCTCACTTGTGAGCGTGTTGAAAGATTTGCGCTGCAGGTCTTTCGTGGGTACTCGGCAGGGAAAAATCCGTCTCCCTCCCTCTCTTTCCTTCCGAGCTTGTGGTGGGCCCCTTCATATTTTTCCATTTGCATTGAACTTACCTGACTCTTGCTGAAACCTTCTCGCGCCTTCACTACTGATCGTACTTCTGCTTCGACGCCCTCGCGGAATTCAGAAGGTGATGCCTACGACACGGAGATGATGGAAAAGAAAAAACATCTAAGGCAGCTGTAGACCAATTGACTGTCCTTGCCTGCTGGCTTAGGATCGTCATGTGTTCAATCCTCAGCAGGTCAATATCTATCAATATCTGCCAGGCGCCAAGCCAAGGACAACGGCTGCATGCACTGTTCGACAAGGCACATCAATTCGGACCATGTGTACCTGGAGGGGATGCAAGGTGCATCCACCAAAAAAATCCCTGATAGCGACCATAGGCATATCTGTACATCGACCAATAGCTGCAACCCTGCATACTCTTACCATGTCTTACCCACTCAGCACCAGCGCTTCATCGGTCGCACATGATGCATATTGACAAGATGAAGGACACCTTGCGACCGAAGAACTGCCAAGACACCCCACAACAGTGACATGCAGTAGGTACATGCCCATGTTGAACAAGCCCGACATTCATAAAACAATAACTCAGGAGCTTCAACAAGGTGCAGGCACTTAAACCACGGCGGTCGCAGGCAAGACGTATCTTCGCATGTAGCTCTGAGTCTGTACATCTCCATCTTGGAATTACCTACTGTGCCTGATCACTATTGTCTCAATTTCCGCTGAAGGTCTTGTGAATCTAGTGCAAAAGCTTCACAAGCAATGTCGGATTTTGAGCACCACCCATCAACGTATATCAACGGTACTTTCAGTTCATTTCTAGCACCTTGTGGCACCGCAAGAAAAAAATCCACGAAAGCAGCCAATGGCCAATGGAAACGATCCCATACTTGGGCTGCAGGGAGTGGAAAAGCAACTCAACGCACAGCCGACGCACGGGTCAAGCCAGGCCAAGTGACAAAGGGATCAACTTTCTCTTCTGGAAGAAAGGTTTGCGTCACCGTTGGAAAAACGGCCTATCACTCAGCACTTCACAGCACTTGAAGTTCAGTTGCTGCTGCTTGTGCAACCAAGGGACGGCAAAGAACGTCGCGAAAATGACGAAACCTTGCAGGTTTCTGAGTACGTATAAGTGCAGGCGTTCGCAACGGCTAACCTTTGGAAAGTACCCACATATATCACATATGACCACCTCTGAGGGACGAACTTGTACAAATGAAATCGTTCCTCTTGTCGGTGGCCAGTGCGACAAGTATGGATGAGCCACTCTTGGGAATTGCAAAGTAGATGCAGTACAACCATAAGCAGCACCTGAAACAAGTTCCAGGCCCACTGCAAAGCATGGAAGCTGTGACAAGGAACCCAGTTAATTTAGAGCAAATGATGAGCAATGCATGCAATGCATACTTTGTACTTTCGCAACTTGCTATGGTTGGCCACTATTTCATTTCTGCCGGCCAGGTTGGGTCATGTTGTTGGACGTTTGCAGCCATGCCACTTGTACATTGCGCAGACTCCCAAAAAGGTGTTCTGAAACCTGGCTTGCATATGGTTCTACGTCATTCTGCTTGCAAAACTAGATTCATTAGAAGGCACGGAACAAGTACACGTGAAGCTCACTGAAACATCTGAAACAGGACAAGCATCTTCAGTCTGTTCCACTGGTGTGCTCGATTCTCATAATTGGCAGAAAACTCCACAATCCTTGGAAGCTTTGTGGCTGTTGTCTTGGATTCGGCGTTGGAGACCAAGAGCTAAATGCAAGCTGGCTGCTGGCCACGGGTAATGGTCTTCTCCAAGGTTTTCTGCGCAGAAACAGCATTCACACTGGATCACACTGGTTTCAATCGATTGGCGCAGAAACACGGCTCCGTTTGAATGCATGTTTCATTGCAACTAGGCATTGTGTGTTGTGTTGTGCCGGGGCGAGGCACAACCATTTCCTTCTCTTCAGCACTACCTCAGGATGGCACAATCGGAGACAAAATTGGATGCACCGCTGACACACTGCCAGGGCATTACCAAGATATGCCAAGATGCCATGCTTGTTGAAGTGTGGAATCAATGGATTGAGAATCTTCGCTCCCCCATCTTTCTCTGTCTTCCACAAACATTCTCCGTCCTGTTGCCGTCTCAACCCAGGTCCAATATCAATCGCACAATGACACTGGATTCGCTCCTCCTCGCAGACCAAGTCCGACTGCCATAGGCCAAATTCTGGAACGGACCGAGTCTGATCGAAAAACCTTCAAGAGTCGGACTGCAGAAAACTAACAGGAAGAACCTCGGAGAGGCACTGTAGCCTGATGTAATGACGTGCCAAGCCTGGAGATTGCTCCAAATCCAATATCATCCTTGCTCTCCAGCAGGCTTTCAAGATTCCTTGCAATGAATGCGAACGCGCTAAACATGGCAATCAATTCTGACTTCACCTGGAGTGTTCGCAAACTCCACCATTGCATTGGTTAGACTTCGTCATTCATTGTCAGCAAACTATTTTCTTTTCTGCAGCGGTTACTTTTCCACTTTGGGGTGCGGTTTTTGACTTCTTCCTCTTCCCTTCGCATTGTGCCTGTCCCTCTTCCTCTACCTCTTCTTTTTTGTATCTGCGTTTGTCCCTTCTCTGTCTGTAGTTTCTTCTTCAGTTTTCTTCGTGTTTCTTGTCCTTCTTCTTATTTTTGTTTGTTCTCTTCTTTCTCCTTTTCTTCTTATTCCTCTTTCTTCTTTCTCTTTCTCTTTTTTCGTCTTCTTTCTCGTTCTTTATTTTTTTTCTTTCTGTCTTCCTTCTCCTTATTTTGTGTTGTTTTTTCTTCTTCTTTTTTCTTCTTATTCTTCTCCTTGAAGTTTTGTTTCCCTCGGGTTCTCTGTCTGTCTGTCTTCTTGGTTGGTCCTTTTTTGATTTTGTTTTTTCAACTACAGGTCCACACCCCTTCGCACATGCTACAATTCCGGAGCGGGGATGTCAAGATTCCTCCCGTCAAAAATTGATGAACACAGAAATATATCTGTACATGAAATGTTATGTAATGCAATGATACATAAAAACTGAAATGTTATGTAATGCAATGATACATAAAAAACCGAATGACAGTACCATATATCTGGGCAAATTATAATATTTGTCACCAACGTGAAAAAAAAACATATTGGGATGATTCCCCTAATTGACCATGATTCCAGTGAGGTCGCAGTGAGGTTGTTATAATTTACCCAGATATACAAAAAATAAAATATATGGAAAAAAATATAATATATATAATATACAATATATATATATACATATATCCAATATATATTATATACAATATATATCTAATAAATAATAAATATATATATATATATTATATGGTAAATAATAAAAACAATATATATATATATATATAAAATATAAATACATAGTATATAATATATATATATATAGAAAAAATACATAAAGTATCATATATCTAATATACATGATACATATATATATACATGATATTATATATATATAAATAATATATATATATACATATATATATATATATAGATAATATATATAATATATAATATATAATATATATTATAGTATATATATATTATATAATATATATATAATATATAATATATATAATATAAAACAAATCTAATATATATATATAATATGTAAAAAATGTATGTATATATATATGTATGTGTAGGCCGTATTGTCTTGCGATGTAGTGTCAGCTCATGCAAATCCATATGTTGCATGTTTGCCGGAATGGGTTGGAATGGGACATATATGTCAATAGAATATTGTCGAAGGAAGTTTAGAAGTCAAACTTCCGACAATATGGGCAGATGAAAAGCAGAGATGGGAAGAGTCAGAGAAAAGAAGAGAAGAAGAAAGAAGATCAAAAAGCGAAAGTCTCAGAAGAAAGAAGATCCTGGTGCGCGAAAAGGTAGGAAAGTCGCAAAACACCGTGTTTTTCCAATGATTTGTGGCTCCGGAGGGTCGAAAAGTAGGCTCGCTAAAGCGGCGGGTGCGGAGCCAGCTGGCCAAATGAGAGATGAAAATCTGCATGCCGTTGTGGCGCTAAGCACATTTCGAAGTCAAAATGTACAAAACACCTCAGCTTCGGAGCACTTTTGGAAGTTGAGATGTCGAAAAAGTGCACGCCGTTGTGGCGCAAAGCACATTTCCAAGTCAAAATGTACAAAACACACCATGCTCGGACCACTTTTGGAAGTTGAGATGTCTAAAGAGTGCACGCCGTTGTGGCGCGAAGCACATTTCGAAGTCAAAATGTACAAACCACCTCAGCTTCGGAACATTTTTGAAAGTTGCGCTGTCGAAAAAGTGCAGCCATTGTGGCGCGAAGCACATTTCCATGTCAAAATGTTAATAAAACACAAGGGGTTTGGACCACTTTTGGGGGTTCAGATGTCGTTTCGCATGGCAGGCGCAAGGGATTGTGCACCTTGTCACAAGTAGCATTTTCAACTACGACCACCGCTACACCACACTACACTCCAATACACTACACTACAGCTACAACTACACCTTCACTACATTCCACTACACTACACTACACTCCACTACACTACACTCAATTACACTCAATTACACTCAATTACACTACACTACACTACACTACACTACACTACGCTACGCTACGCTACACTACACTACACGACACTCCTCTACACTACACTACACTACACTACACTACACTACACTACACTACACTAATTACACTACACTATACTCCACTCCGCTACGCTACACTACACTACACTGCACTACACTACCTTACACTACACTATATTCCACTACACTACACTGCATTACACAACACTACACTCCACAACGCTACACTACAATACACTACACTACACTACACACTACACACAACTACAACTACATTGCATTACACCAGACCGCACTGCCTCACACTACACTACACTACACTTACGCTACACTACACAACACTCAATTACACTACACTACAATACATCACACTACATCACACTACACTACTCTACGCTACATCCCACCACACTCCGCTACACAGTACTCAATTACACTACTCTACACTACTCTACACTACATTACACTACACTACACTACGTAACTACAACTACAGCTGCAACTACAACTACAACTACAACAATACTACATTTACACTACGCTACACTACTCTACACTAATTACACTACACTACACTCCACTCCGCTACACTACACTAGACACAACTACAACTACAACTACAACTACATTAATTGCATTACGCCAGACTGCACTACCTCACACTACACTACACTACACTACACTTACGCTACACTACACAACACACTACACTACAACACACTACACTACACTACGCTACACTACACTACACTAAACCACACCACACTGCACTCAATTACACTACATTACACTACCCTACCCCACATTGCATTACATTACATTACATTACATTGCACTACACTACACCCATTACACTACACTCATTGCACCACCACAAATGCAACTGCAACTACACTACACTAATTACACTACACCACAACTACAACTCCACTACAACTACAACTACAGCTGCACTACACCACACTACATCCATCAGCAGTTGTGGGTGAGGTGACCGACCAAGTGACCACTGCAACCATTGCAGCCACTCCAAAAAACACAGCTCCAACCACCTCTCGGTCCATCAGTGGATTCGCTCTGCCATCCATGATTCACAACAACCAATCTCTCCTATAGGTTTCCTATTTTTGAAACTTCCGCCACCGCCTTGTGCGGTACTACTGGTATTATGATATATGGTAACAGTATGTATGAGTATGTGTAGTGATTATAGTCTATCAGGTTGGCAAAGGCCGGCACCCGAGCGCATTACCAAACATCAAGGCCTCGTGGAATGGAAACAACTTCGCAGCACAGAGCGCCCAAGTCTTCACTGAGAAGTTGTAAGGGCCAAACAAACATCAGCGTGCTGAAAACCTTGACCAAAATGCAATTGAAATGAAGAAGAAAATGTGCAGTACAGAAATAGCCTCAAACAAAAACTCAGCAAAGGCATGCAAAGGCAAAGAGATATGTGGAGAGTGCGAGAGGGTGACACGCACACGAGGTGTTGTACTCTGTCACGTTCCAAGAGGCATCTTGCAGGTCTCTCTGCTCCAAGCTTCGTAATTCATGCTCCAAGTGACCAAGCATCCAATGCTCTGGAACTTGCCCTGCCCAGCAGGATACCTGATCAGAGAGCCCGTTTCTGATTATAAGATTGACTTTTCGCACCAAATTCCACCATCTAATATCAAGCGAGGTTCTTCTTGAAGTCCAATTGCGACATCTTGTATCCGGTGTACAGCCTGATTCCGCACTCAAGCAAGGCACGCACAAGAACAAACTGCAGCGGCAAAACATAACCGGCTCAAGTCAAGTAACGTGATCATATTGGCTGTAAGGTCACCGAGTGAATCCAACGCAGATGTCCTTCGGTACACGGGAAAGAAACGTCAGCTCATGCCAAACTCACAGAAAACACTAACTTCATATATATATATAGAGAGAGATAGATAGATAGATAGATAGATAGATAATTTCAGCAAATTTAGTATCTTCATCTTGGGGCAGGGATCAGTTGAGCAAAAAATTCATCAGCGGCATGGCGCCCAGCTCCTGACCACTCCTGAGCCTGTGTACAAATAGATGCTGATCTTGATGGATGCAATGATCACCTTGATTCACAATTCCATTCAAACTGCACTGCATAGATCTGCACAGCCTGTTAGAACATCACCATTAGGCTCGCAGGCATTACACCCGTTAAAGTTCAAAGTTCCAGCCTATTCTTCCTGCTTGTGACCGGACTTCTGACACAAGCACTTTGCTTTCTTGGCGTTTGTGCAAGAGCTTTGCAAAGGATTGCACTTTGACCTAAAACTCAGTTTAGCCACACACATTGAAGTAGCAAAGCGGGTGATATACTTCACCTGAGACAATTGCCGCACTTCCATCAGTCTTGGCACAAACAGTTGCAAACATCTGAAATGAGAGGCAACAAACCATCTGAGATCTCAAGCTCTGTTCCTCGTGCCACCACCAAAATACGAAAAATGGTGCAACCAGGGTTCAATTCTTTGGGCTTCTTGCTCTTGGACACCAGCTTGTATCGCATCTTCTTCCTAGCTGAAAAGACACATGACTGGCAGGGCCAAGTGTTCATTTCAATCCGCATGATTTAACAATCCGAGAAGCAAAGCAATCGTTCGTCGGCAGAACAGTTCAAACTTTTGCGACCCATACTTCGGATTTTGACTCTCTAGCATCGCATTGTCTTTGTGCTGCTGCAGCTAAGCTAAAAGGGATCGGGTGAGGTAAACTAGGATGAGCACAACATCAAGTACACGCCATCATGTCTCGTTACCCGTGCAAACGGAGCCAGAATCACACCAATTCTTTGCCACACCAGCCACCCTTGTTAGCACATCAATTATAAGCTAATTGGGTTCGATAGATAAAACACACACGTGCAAACCCAAGCACCGATGGAAAGGTGGAATCATTTATAGACAAACTCACAAACCCACAGGCATGCATGGGCAACGGAAAAAATGTACAGTAAATTATTCGAAAGGACAGTATCAAGAACTAGTGCAAAACATCGTACTGATACTGACACGATCCCAGCCCCTCTCGGAAGCAGCTTAATGCCAACTGAAATACCGCGGTCTGGTTCAACAAGCGCTCATCTTGGATCCACGACTTTTGCACTCGCGAAGCTCTCGATTGTCGTTGGTGTGAGGCACCTCCAAAAGAAACCGGGAACATAACTCTGACACCGAGGACAACCCGCAACGGACAATGCGCCTTCCGCCACACTGCTCCGCCTGTGCAATGGTTGTGCGGCTGGCTGAACAGCCACCTCCCGCGCATCCTGGCCCTGCGACATCACTCAGAAAAAACGCTTTGTGTCGGTAGCAAACAACAACTTACAAAAACGCATCAACTGGGCCTCCATGGTTGCTAGGAAGTGACAGGAGGGCTTCGAACCAAAATGCCAAAAGAACGAACCAGTCTTCCGGGGCAATATCTGTCAAAAATCCTCGCTGCAATTTCATAGCTGAAAATGTTGCGACTGAACAAAGTGGAATTGAAACGGGTGTAAGGCCAAGACTGCGCAGCAACTAGAGTTGTCAAAGCAAACCATCGTATAAGCCGCATTCCGTACCTCTGGGTGAAACAAAATAAGTTCATCCACAATTTGCACGACGTTTGAGTTTCCCAGCCGCCTACTTGCCAAGCGTTGACCAAGGCCAGCTGTCAGGAACCCAAAATTGCAAAAATCTCAACATGATGTCACCCTTGGAAATGATTATTATTTTTTGCTTAGTTCAAGTCCATGCAATTATTTTTTCATGTTTTTTAAAGCAGCATCCACATATCATGTGTGAACTCCGCATCAAAAACAGTGAGTGCACAAGAGAAATCAAACGGAAAAATTACGTGGTACAGAGACGCGGTTCATGTAGAGCCACAAATGCTGCCCATCTGAGAACTGCAATGGCGTGACCAAGAGCACACCGAAGTGCTGAAACCACCTGATCCCCACAATGATTCGTGGAAAACAATCAATTTCCTCCCCAGTACAGAATAGGATCGTGGAAAAAAAACATTTTTCTTTTGGATGCAATGCAATGGCCATCAATTTCATTACTTCGGAATCATTCATGGTGTCGCGGTTGCTCGGTTGTTTTTTGGGGGCCCAGCGGCCAGCGGCGTCCCCATTGCCCCTCGTTTGGACTCCCGAATTTTGTTGTTGCACGTTTTCCTTCCGCGATTGGCACGCCGCTTTTGTCAAGAACGAATTGGAAGACCTTTCTTGTCTCATGGAAAGTTTGGAAAAGTCTGTGGGATCGCTGCCGTGATGTGGTGTTTCCCCATTCTTACGCTGCATTGGGCTGAGAACGACAAGATGTCAACAATGGCTGCATGATGTCGTGGACGAGGAAATTTTCAATTTGCTTGCATCCCCCAAAACATGGTCCAAGAAAGCACGTCCGGAGGAGTGAATGATCAAATTGTCAAAAACACATCAACAAAAGTTAAATCACTAGGATCAAGAAAAAATAATCTACAAGTCGCTGGGAAATATTTTTTATTGATCTGTTTTTTTTGATCCGGTAACGAAACAATTCGAAATATTAAAAAGAAACCTCTTGACAGTAGCAAAAAATGATGCATACAAGAACTTGAGGCCGGGGGTGGATGACGAAAGCTAGCGGGGTAGGAGAAAGAAGGAAGGGAAGAGGTGAGTTGGAGGGATTGTCATCATCGTGTCGCGGCATTGTTCGACCCAACGAGGATGCAACAATGATATATGATATATGATATATAACAATGATATATATGGGGGAGGGGGCAGGGGGGGGGCCTTTCGCGGGAAAAATCACGTGATGTCCTTGGAAAGCCCCGGAATACTTGCTAAAGCAAGAAGACTCTAGCGAGCTGACGCTAGCTTTCGTGATAATGCCAATAATTGCCAATAATGAAAAAATGTACTTGAATAACGATGATGATGATGATGATGAATGATGAATGATGAAGGATGAATGATGAATAATGATGATGATGAAAAATGATGATGATGATGATGATGACGATGACGATGACGAGGACGATGATGATGATGATGATGATGACGAGGACGATGGCGAGGACGATGACGATGATGATGACGATGACGATGATGATGACGATGATGATGATGATGATGATGATGATGGTGAAGAGGGGCCCTAGCGTCTACTTCAAGATCAGCTAAGGCGTCTTCCCCAATGACAGCACCTTTTACTCTCAGCCTGTTGCCGGTCAGTGCTTGTCCACAGGGTTACTCTATATACCTCTTGAGCCTTGAGGGGCGCATATAAATGTGCTCAATACTCATGCATGTACCTCTGTAGGTATTAGGTCGAAACAAAAACACAGGCACGAATTCAAAAGCAATGAGTAGAGCACTACGCCTTGTCGTACCCAATTGGTATTAAGAGTATCTTCCTGTCTTTTCTACACAATGGCAAGTAGCAAAAATAAACCGGAGTTACGCAGTGGCTTCGAATTGAAAAACACGTGAAAGCAGCGAATGTCCTAAAGACATGCCGAAAAAGAACAGCGGATTCGCTAATTTTTCCAGTAGCGACCAATGGTGCTTCGCGCACGGTCTCTCCACAGGCAAAATCCCTTGCTACCAGTGAAAGTTCGAATTGAAAAGTTCGGTTCGCAAGATTCAAAAATTCCGGTCATACGAAAAACAGTTGACCAAATCACGAAATAAACGGAAATAGCGGATCTCCAAAGTTGCTCATTCAAGCGAACAATGGACAGAAATCGAAGTTAGTAAGTTTTGGAGTTCGCTCCATTCGGAGTGGTCTGCTCGCAGAAAGTTTCATGGAGATAAATGTGTATAGTATCTCTATTTACAAGAGTATCTATTTTACATTAAATTGAAATTCGGACACTTGTGGCATTATCTCTATCTAAAAGAGTATATGCCATCTTGTGGAAATAAGTTGATGCACAGAAAAACTGTACACGGCCTCTCATGCTGTGTTATCTTCATTTAAAGAAGTATACACTCACTCATCGCCAATCACTTTGTCTCCATGGTCTGGACGAAGAAGATGAGGATCCACCCCAACCAGTGTTGCCCTGATACGTTGATGCTTGATCTTCATATGCCTTTCTCTTTTTCTCCTTCTGCCTTTCTTTTCTTGAAGCGGCATACTTCATCTTCTGGTTAGCTTGTTTGTAATGATGTCGTTCATTCCACGACATGTCAGAAGGATCTAGATGAACAAGAATTGGATTGTGAGCATCACGATCATTTGGAGCAACCATAAAGATGTTGTGATCACCATGTAAGCAAGTTTCATTTACCTTGAAGTAAAATTCACCCACATAGTTCATTTGATCTTCATCTTCATAGTATTCAGGGTATTCCTCACACACCAAACGTGAATGACCCCACTCAACAACTGTCAGCATACAACAATCACCTTTGCCCGATGTCTTCTTCACGAGCTCGTCGGTATATGAAACTGTTGTAATGCCATCCAAGTGCGTTGTAAGAAAATCAAGATTCCGGTAACTGCAAGAAATGAAATGTTTGACCCTGACTGGAGGGTATGTTGAATCAAAATTCTTGCGTAGGGCTTGTGTTGCAGCACCCCTCATTCTGTTAATCCAGAATTGGATTAGGCTGTGTTGATATGTAGGGACACCTGGAGATTTTGGTGTGGTGTAATAGCATGCCTTGTTTCCATCACCTGCGATGACGTCAACTTGATATCTAGTACACTCAAAAGCCATAACAGCTAAACACTCACCAGCAATACCAGGAGAGTCTGATGCATATTTTTGTCCAACGTGATAAACGCACACACGTGTCATCTTCATCCTGGCTCGTGTCAAGTCAATAATCTTATCTGTATCACGGTCCTTTGTCTTTCCCCAAGATACTTCAAAGATTGCCCATGAGACTTGTCGAACTCGTGTGACGTTGTCGTCTGTGTGATATCCAGCAATTTGCCTGATACTGCCGTCCTTTCCTATGCGAGCTGCCACCATCAAGTCATGATAGTCATTGAAGCAAGTTTTAAACTGCACCTCTTCGAGTCTTTCTCTGTGAGGATATAGTGAACCAGCTCCGCAATTCATGAAAAGATGTCCTCCAAAGTTCTTGATGACGTTCATGAAGTAATTGTTGAACTGGGTCTTGTTCTCATCAATTTTTTCATGTTCTTCATCAATACTGTAATCAATGTGTGGAATGAATTGTTGAAATCTTTCTGGGACAGGGCATTTTTCAAATCTGTTTCTGCACCAGTTTCCCAAATTCCAAAACATCATTGTAATCTGTGGAGAGGATCTGTATGGAAATTCATCATCTCTGTATGTTGGGTCTAGTAGGCCTCCACCTAAATATCTGTAAGCCAAGCTGTGCAAGATCATACAATAAGGCAAGACCTTGTGGTCCTCAACATAAGATTGAAGTACCTTTGTCAGGTTTCCAAAATCGTCATCAATCCTTCTTTCTGCTTCTTTTGAGGCTTCTTCTGATTTGTTTTGATGAAGAGGATGCATCCTTGGATCACTACAACCATATTCGATGTTGTTCTTGAGATCATCTAGTTCTTGTGATGGTTGTTGATCTTTATGTCTGGCAATGTACTCGGCCATCAACTGTTCATCTGTAAGATGGTACCAATAATCTTGATGTGGAGACATAGTTTTCCTGTACTTTACATGCCAAAACATATGTCGATGTTTCGAGGATGCTGGATAACCTTGATTGTGAAATCCTGCCCATTCTCCATGGTAACCATCTGTAAAACAATCCTTCAATTTTCGAAAAACTGAATCATCTTCGTTTCCAGTGATATCTTGACCATAGTAAAATCTTTGTGCAGGTTTCACCTCAGGAGCTGTCTCATCATCTTGAATGTCTGCCTTCTTCTCCCCTGATTCCTCCTTCTCTGAGGAGCATTCAGGTGGAGCTGGTTCCTCTTTCTCACAAGAGCTTCCAGCTGGGACATGTGGCTCCTGCGTGTCTTTTTCTTCCTCTTCGACATCAATCTCCTCTTCTTCTTCTTCCTGTTTTGCCTCTTCTTTGACAAAGCTCTCCTTGATCTTTTGCTGAACATTCTTGTTGCACATACTAATCCATTTGAGAGTACACTCAACCAATTTGTCATCATCAGTTTCCAAAATGATATGCTTGTCCTCAATGTTCAAACTTTCAATAGTGTTCTTGTACTCAGGATCGGCACTACCTTGTCCTTGAAGATCAGGAAGAGGAGTATTTGGATCATCGTCCACCAAATCTGGATCCTCCATATCAAGGAAATTGTCTGCAGTGATGTGCTCATTGTCCTTGAGAACCTTTGAAACATCCAGTTTGAACTCATGAAACTTTTCCCAGGAGATCTCATAACCCATCGACGGTGCATATTGGTCCATAAA